CTAATTATATTTTAGATTTTTTATATTTAAAATGAGATGTTTATCCTGTATTTGATTGTGTTTATCTGCAGTTAGTTACACGAATTCAGTTATGGGATGAAATCGGATAGGGATGAAATTGTTTAGGGACGAACGAGTTTAAGAGTTTTAAAAGTTTAAGAGTTTTAGCCAAATGTTTTATAATATAGTATAGATATATGTATGTGCTTAAAATGGTTTGGAATCAACTCTTATTATGAGTTAACCATTTGTAAAATGCAAAATATATTATTATAAAATTAGATTTATAAGACGTTGAAAATATTTACATGCTTTAATGAAATGTAACAACCCACAATTTCATATAACATATAACATGGAATTATTACATAACACATCACATTGAGGCTACAAATTGGGTCTCATTTTATAAAATTATACAACTATCGAAAGTCTGCCACAAACTTTTTACTATTAAGATCTTCGTAAAAAAGATTCACAAAATCAAACTTCATAAAACTTCTCAAGAGTTTTCACATGAAAAGCCAAATAAAAGGTCTTACATTTTTCCATTTATTTTCCCTTCTAAACGTTACTGCCCTGAAATGAATAATTTTAAAATAAAATGAGGGTTAGACTATTTGGTCTAGTAAGGAAATCTATGTCAGTGTAATAATACTATATATATAATCAGTTCGTATAAAACCTTTTAAACTAGTAATCATATTGGAGGCTCTCAAACATTATGCACCTAGGCACAACATCATTGTTAGTTATAAAGTTGGCACCTAAGCACAATATCCCTTCCAGGCAAGTGGCCACAACAGTCACCTTTCTAAAACAACATACACCCTGATAAAACCGCCATCGATATCGACAGTGGCCCACCACACGGAACATATTCGTGGGGTATATATATATATCCCATGCACGGACCATCACAGTCTCAATGCACCCGAGTTTCTATTGTGTAAGTCCCTTTAACCTAAGCAACATCATCAAATCACAAGTTTTAATTTTTCCAACAATCTGTATTCAAAACCTATAACACAATTAACGGTAATAAATCAAATATACCAATAAGGTATAACATTGAAACAATATCATTTGATAATATATGTATTTCAGTTCAAAAAAGGTTATCAGAAAACTCACCTCCATAATGATATATGATGCTAAGAACTTTAACTGATACGAATTATCAAAACTGAATGCGAACCTGGATAAGGTAAGCATAGATCACAATAAAGAGAGATAGACACAACCTTGTCTAAACAATCTCTAAGACACATAAATGAAACCCTAAATTACCCCAAAAGACATGAGACAAAAACTAGAAAAAAAATGCAAAACAGTGGCTTGAACGACTTAGGTCACATGGCCTACTATTTCATCTTCTTTTCCCTTGATCACGACCTGCAACTCCAAATTCAAACCAAACTTCAACAACACCCAAATTCACCAAAAACACAAATTTAAACCAAGGGTTAACCCCAAAAAGGCAGGATGAGAATATCACATTTTTGGAATTACAAAAGCTTATGCGACTTGCCACGTGACTTAGGTCGAGGGCAAAGTCACGCCCGTCTCTGGTTCGACCTTCAGGCCCTGTTCAACCCAGAAAATCCATCTTTCCGAAAACCATAGCTAAAACAAGATTCTTATATTTTAACAAAACTCAATACCTCAAATGAATACAAATAAAACTTTCCACATAGGATGAAGCATACAAAGATCCCTCCTTTAAACTCAAAGCAATACAAAGATCCCTCCTTTAAACTCAAAGCAAATAATTGAATCACTCTAAACTAGAGGAATTAAGAACACAAAAACTGATTTGAAGAACATTAACAAGAACATTATAATGCTTTGATTCAAGATCAAAAAATGACCTAAAAATCGATTCCAATGATCTTTTAACTTGAGTCATAGAAACAATCTCATATCAAAACTCAAAACTAGGACTAACTTTAGGTCGGAAAAAACAATAAAGAAGAACATACCTTGTGCAAACCAAGATGATATCTGCGATAACTTCTAAAAGAATCTTCACTAAGCATGAAAATCCTTTCAACCCTTCTATTTAATGGCATCCACACATAAATATTCTCTAAAAGAAGGTTTTTAGGTGGAGATCACTTTTTGGAAGAAATTAAGGAGGTGATTGCTTTATATATAAATCAAATTTCTAAACTAAATCATCAACTAGCACAAAATAACAAAAAGGCCCCTAGACTTATAACTTAACTAAAAGTTAGACAACCCAAGGTTATAACAATATTTCCCCATGATGAAATTCCGTCCTGAAATTATTTCAGTCAAACAAATGGGGGTACTTAGATCTCATCTCCAACTCTAGTTCTCAGGTTGGTTCTTAACCCTTGTGATAATGCAGTGAGTTTTTACCAACCCAATCTTTATTTCTCAAATTTTTAACTTTATAATCGATAATAGCATATGGTTCCTCAACAAACTTCCGGTTCTAAATTTTAAGCTACCTCACCAACCCAATCGCAGATCACAAAAGGACCGTTATACCTGGACTCAGTTCACCCATCTTACTTAAACGAATTAATCCTTTCCACAACGATACTTTCAGCATCACCCTATGTCCCTATCCTTAACCTAAAACTCTATCGGTTTAAGGCATTTCTCGACGTAGCTTTTCTATTAGTCCCGAGTCATTTTTATGAGTTTGCAAATCTGACTAATCTTATCTACAGCAAAGAACCTCGAAGGGTGCCGCTTGAATACTGAAATGATAACTGAAAAGATAGGTGCCTCTCCCAAAAACCTATAAAGTCAATAATACCATTGTGCAATATCTCTTCGAGCGTCTGAATCGTCCATTCACTCTGTTCGTCAGTCTGTGGATAATAAGTTGTACTCAACTTTATTTGTGATCTCATCTCTCTGAAAACTTTTCTAAAACATCAAGATATGATAAGATGTCCGACTGTCTCTATCTGATATGACTAATAGTGGAACTCCATGTCGAGTTACCACTTCATCAATATACAACTTTGCTAACCCTTCCATAGAACACATTTTTAGAAAGTCGATCTACTATAACCCAGATTGTATCGAAACCCTTCAACGTTCTCGATAACTTCATTATGAGATCCATCATAATATGATCTCATTTCCAAACCAAAATTTCTAATGATTGCAGATTACCATAAGATCGTTGATGTTCCACTTTTACTTGCAACAAGTCAAACATTGCTACACATACCATGCAATATCTTTCTTCATACTTGACCACCAATAAAACTGTCACAAATCTCGATACGTCTTATTAATACGCGGATGAATAGAATAATGAGACTTGTGAGCTTCAGTCAAAAATCCTCTCCTCGATATCACGAAGACGAGGTATCCAAACTCTGTTTCCAAAACTTATTAACCCTTAGCAAGTCAATCTTTCTTTAAGTTTTCTTCTTTCAAAGATTCAATCTGACATCGCTTTAATTCTTCAAATATGCTCGGTAATAGATCAGCTTGTAAGGATAATATTTTGATTGTTCCACTCTTTCTTTATGAATCAAAGCATCAACAACCACTTTCACTTTTCCCACGTGATATATGATTTCATAATCGTAATCATTCATTAGTTCTAACCACCGCCTTTGTCTCAATTTGATTAAACAAATGACGAAGATTATTATGATCAGTAAAAATCTGACATTTAATACTGTATATATTGTGTCTCCAAATCTTTAAAGAAAAACAATGACCGCTAATTCCATATCGTGAGTGGTGTATTGTCTCTCGTGATCTTCTAGTTGACGAGAAGTAAATGCAATAACTTTCCCTCACTACATCATTACACAATATAGACCTAATATGGAAGCATCATTGCAAACCATAAAATCCTTGGAATCGTAAGGCAGAGATAGAATTGGTGTACTACAAAATCTTTCTTTTAGTGTTCGAAAGGATTCAGCTTTTGCTTCTTTCCATTCAAACTTCATATTCTTTTTTGTTAATACTGTTAATAATGTCGTTATGTGAGAAAAAATTTGTATGAACTTATGATAGTAACCTGCCAACCCCAGAAAACTTACCACGTCGGTCGGTGTTCTTAGCAGTTTCCACTTTTCAATTGCTTCAATTTTAACTGGATCCACTTTGATACCAATCCCTGAAACGATGTGCCCCAAAACTGAACTTCTCGTAACCAAAATTCACATTTAGATAGTTTAGGGATAACCTTTTTCTCGTTTCAATAGTTCTAACATCAACTACAGATGATTAACGTGTTCCTTTTCTGATCAATAATAGATAAGAATATCATCAATAAAAATGATCACAAATTTATCTAGGTACTAAATACATACCCAATCCATCATATCCATAAATGTTGTTGGTGTGTTGGTCAACCTGAACGACATCACTAAAAACTCATAATGCCCATACTTGGTACAAATGCAGTCTTTGATACAATCTTCTTTTTGAACTTTAAGCTGATGATAACCTGATTGTAAATCGATTTTTGAGAATTAACTAGTCCTGAATCAATTGATAAAAAAGGTCGTCAATTTATCAAGTTCTTAGTAATTAGTACACATTCTCATCGATCTATTTTGCTTATTTACAATCAAAATTGGTGCACCCCACGAAGACATACTGATCTTATAAAACCTTTATCAAACAGATCTTTTAACTTAAGTCAATTATAAATTCAATCAACCACAAGGGTGGTTTCTGATTGGTTTGAGCTTGGCTCCAAAGGTCAAAAGTACCTGTAGGTCCCAGGTTCAAATCCAAGGAGGAATAAAAATCCCCTTTGTGGCCACGGAGGTTCAAATGCGATGACTTCGGACTATCTACAAAGCAAGTGGTCGCCCTCGGATTAGTTGGCTCACATAGCAGGTTGGATTTCCAAGTTAATCAAAAAAAATTCAATCGATCTATCTAATGTAAGACTAATCAAAACATCTAGGAAAACTTCTGGAAAGCACTGAATACCGATAGTCTTTCAACTTTACCCTTTTGTTTCTTTGCATCATAACATAGGCTAAGAAACTTTAACAACCTTTTTTTTACTCATTTTTGAGCTTTAATCATAGAAATCAAACTGATATGTCGGTCTCGACGATCCCTGTAAATCACAACGGGACCCTTACCGAGTAAGTCAATACGAATCATCTTTTTATCACAAACAATACTGGTCTGATTTCTTGCTAATAATCCATTTCAACTACAACATCAAATTCTTTTATAGTCATAGGGAATTACTGAACTGGTACCACACACCCATCCACATCTATACTACAATCATCAAATACCTCACTAACAACAACCTAGTTATCATTGGCAGTTTCTACTACTAAAGTATAATCCAAGGACTTAGGCTTTGCATACGAACATCCAATAAACGTAGATATAAACAATTAGCACTCAATCAAATAACACTTAAACATATATTGAACTTACCAAAATGTACTTGTCGCCATATCCGATGTCCCCTCGGTTTCTCCCAAAGTCATCTAAAACGCTCGCTCTTTTGCTTTAAACTGATCAAGCATCTGAGTTTCTCACATTTATGACTAGACTTTAAATCTAGACTACACTCACCCCGATGCATTCTTTGACATTTATGATATGGCCTATCAATGAATCTCTGATTCAAACAATTATCAAATCTAGCAAACTTCGCTCTTCTAAAACTATTTGAAAATTCATCCCATTTTATTTTCCCTTTGTCTCTTTCACTCTTAATTGTTGATTATTTTCTCACCTAATTGTCGGTTATTTTTTTTCTCTATCACCTCAGCAGCGGTTGACCGGCGACTAAAATGTATTCTCTAACAAACACTTTCAATCCCCAAATACATCTTTCTCTTCTATGGCCTCTGCCGATACATATAATTTTGGAAAACATGATTTTTCTCGAAGTATATTCCTGAACAGACATATTACCCTGTTCTAATCTGAAAAATCTTCTTCCAATTATCTAACTTTTGCCTTCAAGAAAAATATGATCTTTGAACACATCTAAAAATTCTTTTTACTATATACTTGGAGAAATATCTGAACCTTTTGAAGACCTCATAATATCCCACCGGAACAACACATTTGTTTTCAATACAGTCACAACAAAAATAACCATGTCCTCATTTATAATGGTATAAGAAATTTCTTATGTTTCCCTCAATCCTCGCATAACTTTAACAGGGTCTTGATTTCCAGAATAAATTGGAGGTTTACAGGCAAAAACATTTTATAAGCACACCCTTAAGGAATAACAATAGTAAAAAATGTCGGAATAGGTTGACCATCATAAGAAATAGCAGTCGGTTTATTCACTTTCGTTCCCAAGCTAGATTCGAGATTCACAATATTTTCTGTTTCAGTATTTCAAGGGTGCCCCAATAAACATTTCAAAACAGCCTGAAGTTAACCAACCTCGACGGTCAAATCTTCCCAGATTATTTTCGAACGAAGGATTAGCCCCATCAAGATTAACATAATCAATTCTTACTGAGCAACAAGAATAACTTGTCATTTAATAAATACACTTTAATCACATTCTCATATATATAATAAGGTATTAAAATACAAATATGCACCTGTAATATCACAAATACTTTGATCAGATGTAATTTGAATTTATCTTACATGCCATTCTTTCAAC